CAAGACTATAGGTTCTTATCGCAGGATTAGGAATTTTGAAGTGGAGATTGCACTTAAGAAGATGAAATCAAATAAGGCTTTAGGACCTTATGATATCCTATTGAAGCATGAAGTGTTTGGGGTAAAAAGGGGTTGCTTGTGTGACTTTGTGTCAAAAATTTTGGTGAATGCTGAGGAAAGCGTTATTGTTTGTGACAAGTCTATAAGAATAAAGAGTGATGTTCAGAATTGTACAAAACTATAGGAATGCAAGTCAATAGTTCACTGTATAATGAATATAGAGGAATATGATGATCGAGAGTATACTATCATGATGTCAGAGAATCAATGGGTTTTGCTAGTAGGTCAACTAATGAAAGCACTATCTTGAAGTGGATAATAGAAAAGATATAAAAAAAGAAAAGAGACATTCATATGGTGTTTATCGACCTTGAGAAAAGCATATGACAGAGTGCCCCGAGATATAATATGGTGGGCGTTAGAGAAGAAATGGGTGACCAAAGGCTACATTGACGTGATTAGGGACATGTATGAAGGAGTGGTGACCACTATTAGATCGCCAGCTGGAGAAACGAATGAATTTCCTATCACTGTAGGGTTACACCAAGGATCTACCTTAAGTCCTTATCTTTTTGCTTTAGTTATGGACAGTGTATGACTATTTCAGGATGTCGTGCGCATGGTGTATGCTTTTTGCAACGATATTTTTAGTGGATGAGACTAGAGAAGGAGTTAACACAAAGTTGGAGATCTGGAGAAAAGCTCTTGAATCTAAAGGATTTCGGATAAGCAGAACTAAAACAGAGTACATGGAGGTAAATTAGTAACAGTAACAATGAAAACAGAGGAGAAGTGAAGATTGAGAACCAAGAACTGCCTAAGAGTGAACATTCGTTATTTAGGGTCGATTATCAAACAGCGGGAGAGATTGATGCAGATGGGGCCCATAGGATTAAGGCGGGAGTGTAAGTGGAGAAGTGCGTCTGGGGTATTGTTGCGATAACGAATACCCACTAAACTAAAAGTAAGTTTTATAGAACGGCTATTAGACCAGCTATGTGTATGGGACGGAGTGTTGGGCAACTAAGAAACAACATGTAGATAGATGAGTGTGGCTGAGATGAGGATGCTAAGGTGGATGGTGTGTAAGACTAGACAGGACAGGATTAGGAATGAGTGTATTCGGGAATGGGTAGGAGTAGCACCGATAGAAGATAAGTTGAGAGAGAATGGTTTGAGATGGTTTGGTCAATTCAACGGAGACCAACAGAGGCAGTAGTGAAGAGATGCGTGCTGTAACGGTAGATGGAAGTGTTAGGGGACGGGGTAGGCCTAGATTAACGTTGACTAGCGTTATAAATAGAGATATGAATCACTTAATTGACTAATGAAATGGCTTTTGATAGGGCCGCGTGGAGAAGAAGGATTCATGTAGCCGACCCATTTGATGGGACTTAAGGCCTCGTTTGGTTTGGTTTGGTGTATTCAAAGGTTTGACGATAACATCAGGAATATATATAATATATATATATGTATTGATTTCCTATTTTACCATTTTAAATATTGTTTCAACTAGAAAGATGAAGCAGCTGACCCATACCCGTAGCCTCGCCCCTTTGCTTTTTGTTTTTTGTCCCCTTTTCTTCCCAATTGTCATTTTCCCTCTCTGAAAAGCACTATGGATGGGTTGAGACAGATTGCGGGAGGTTAGGTTGGCTCAGTCAAAGGTGGAAGTTGTGGATGATTGGTGGCTCAATCTAAGGTAGAAGCTATTAACAGTGACAATGGTAGTTAAGAAGATGATGCGATAGCGAGGCTTGGTGGAGCTAATGGGCTCCAGAGGTAAGGATTGATAAAATTTGATGGAGGTGGTGGGCTTCAATGATAATTTCTGTTGGGTTAAGAGGAGATAATTGGCTGTAATTGTGATTGTTGATAGGTTTGGGAGAACAGTGGGTTTCGGTGGGGGCTGTTGGTTGGTAGGTTTGGTGGTTGGAGTTTGAGGGCAGCGGTGGGAGGTTAGCGATAGATGATGGAAAACAACGACGGCGGGGTAAGAGAAGTGGTAAGATGGTTGTGTGGTAGGTAAAAGAGGAGGAAATGTGGGGGCATGCATATATTAATGTAAAAAAAATAATATTCAGTGTATTTGGTTTGAATTTTTTGAAATAAATTTTTTTGAAATTTGAATTTTTTAGTTTTTATATTTTTTTGTTTTTAGTGAATATTTTTAAAATTTTAAACATTTTTTTTACTTTTTTAGATTGCACCTTTAGAGATGTATCTAAAAAGTAAAAAAATTGTGAAAAAATATTTTAAAAATTTAATAAATACATAAAAATACAAAATATGTACTGAATTGTTGTATTTTTTTTATATTTTTTATATTTAGTGAATTTTTAAAATATTTTTTTATAATTTTTTTACTTTTTAAGTGTATTTATGTTAAATGTGTCTAAAAAGTAAAAAAATTACTTAAAATATTAAAAAAATTCAATAAAAATAAAAAAAACACGAAAAATAAAAAAATAAAATTTTTTAAAAAATATTTTTTGAAAAATGAAAACAAGCAAGGTGATTATTTTTATATTTATTTGACTAACAAATTATTAATAACAAAAAAACGAAGTGTAACATAAATTAAAATATTAAGAAAACTCAACATAATTATATCAAAATTGTAACACGTACTGTATTTTTTTTTAAATCCCTGAGTAGTCAATGTAATTTATCCAATTTAAAATTACTTCCCTTTGAAGCTCCAAATTCTTTTTATTTTCCTTTCCACAAAATAAAAGTCACGCTGCTTGCACATCAGTTACAAGTTAGTGGGGCCACTAAGCCTCCGTTTGGAAAGTGGGTTGGTTTTTTGGCTTTTTGGCTTTTTTAGCCTGGGCTATTTTAGCCTGGTTTGGGAAGGGCTTTTTGACTTTTTGGCTTTTTTGGCTTTTTTTGTGAGAGAGGATTGTAATGATTATGGGTTGGATTTGATGTTTTGTTTTTTGTGGCTAAAATAGCCTATTTTGTTTTTTGTGGCTATTTTAACCAAAAAAGCCTGGCTTTTTGCTTGCCAAACGAAGGCTAACTCATTAACATACACCATATGGTAGAAGACAATAAGAATTGCCCAAAACCTGGAACATAAAGCTAGCAATTTTGCAACAGCATATCTCATTTCCATTTTGCGCCCACTTAATTCCAAGTACATCAAATTCAAGACTCAAATCTGTATATATATCAGCCATTTTTAATAATGCTTCCTCTCCTGATACTATTCTTATGCACAGTACTATTATCTATCCACCAAACAATTCACCATCTCCCTCACAAGGCAGTAATAAAAGCGTTGCAATGTCCAAGTCTAAATGTACGATTTTTTTTATTGAGAGACAGATTTAAGAGATATTCAATGATAGCCGAAGAGATATCCATGTAATTAACCCAAAATACTATGTTCTAATACAGTGATTGGATGATAGAGACAGAGAGTAAGGTGCATTTCCAACAGTTGTTTATAAATAAAAGTATTCATTTTCTTGCCAACAATAGATAACTAAAATGATTTGGCACAACTCAAAGCTACCTATTTGATATCATTTTCTTGTTAACAATCGATAACTGAAATGATTTGGCACCACTCAAAGTTACCTATTTGATACCACAGTGAGAAGATCACAATTGAACGACACAAGAAAAAGGAAATCCAAGGTAAACAAAGGCAATGACTATTTTCCACAAGCTATGTTATCAGAATCTTATGAATCGGGATTCGATTCTCGATTCGATACGCAAATTTTGCAAAATCGATACGAATCTATGAGTGAATCTATATTGGAAGTGAATCTCTAGTGAATCGCACGATTCACAATCGATTCACGATTCGATTCACTTTTTACGATTCATGCAATTTTTAAAGTTATTGTGTCCGACATATTTTCGACTCATTTTTTCTATCTTTTTAGTGAAAATGACATAATACAACTTCTAATAGTATTTAACGCCAAAATAACCAACATATATATATGATTTTTTATTATTTTAGTGATTATGGAATTTTTTATAAGATCCAATCATATTCAGTCAGACCTAACATATTATTAACTTTTCTTCACATTTTTGTCCCGTTCAAAAAATTGTAATATATCTTCTAAAGATGTTTAAGATTAAAGTTACACTATGAATTATCTATTACTATTTTATTAAATTGAATACTACATGTGTGAGGTCAGTTATACCTTTTAAAATATTTTAAGTTTTAAAATAAAATATTCTAAATAATTCTTTCTTATTATTTGTTCACTCTTACTTAGAAAAGTATATATACTTATTGTCTAAATATCAATTTCGTTGTTAACTATTGTTACTTTAAAAATTAATAGTTTGTCTATTTGGTTATTACCTTTATAAAGAATGGTTGATAAAAAAATCTAAGAAAAAAAAAAAAAAGGTAAGATGGTGATTTTGCATAGGAACTTTTGTTAACTTCTTACCTATTAAATTACGTGATTATCATTCAAAATAACATTTTTGTTGATTTAAGTCTAAATATTTTATACTTATAAGATATATTTAACATCTAAATGTGTAGATATATGTTTTTAAGTGATTTAGAAAAAGTGACCGAATCTTTACGATTTACGATTCGATTCGATTCGCGATTCGGCACGAGACCATTTCGATTCACGATACCAATTCCAATTTGACAACTATGTCCACAAGTAATTATTGTAAAATTATAACTTTGAAAGGAAAACTAACCTGATCAAGAACTTTTCCATCACTGGTAAACTTCGACACCTATCAATTTGAGACCGAATCTGCAGAAACAAAGCAGCATTTGATGTTGCAGCAGCACAAGAAACAACTATACCTTAAGACAGGATGAGAGGTATAAAAAATAAAATAAAAAAACAATTGAATGTAACAATGAAACAAAATTGGGCACCACAATCAGTGACCCAGCAGCACCTTAACAATCACCAACTCTAAATGGCAAGAACTGTGATCAACTAGTAGTTCCAAAGCATCACTTAATTAAGAAATTTTCCAAATCACCAAAGTAATACATATGTGAAAAGCATCTTAAGTTCACATCCATGGAGGAATACCAAGAGCACATGTGGATATATCATCAACCCAAGAAAGAGAGCTGAAAGATTCAGACTAGACACAATGATCTTGCAATGCCAGGCTCAAAGCACTGTCTCTGGAAAACAAGAAAAACATAGACGAAGTAAAACTGGCACCAACAATTTAGAGATGAATGTTGAGGAGTGTCAAAACTGCACCATCACTTGCTACTACACAAAATCAACAAGACCATGCTGTTACTTAATAACAGATCAGGCCTGACATCCTAAATTGAAGGAAAGCGAAGAAAACTACAGTAGTAAAAAGAAGGCATTTCCCCCAAACTGAAGCTACAGTTTTCCTAATATTTGATACCTAATACATAATACACATGAGAGAGAGAGAGAGAGAGAAGAGAGAGAGAAGAGGGGGGGGGGATCCTAACAACAAACTCCAAAGAATGGACGTGTCAAGACATTAAAAACTTCCACACTTTCTTTCCTAGCGACACTTCACCCGGATGCTCTGGTTCATCATCGTCGCCATCGTCATCGTCGCTGTCACCATCGTCGCCATCACTGTCGCTGCCATTGAATGTGCTCCCATTCTCAAATTCACCTACATATTCTGATGTACCATCTACCTCCTCACTCAAACCCATATTTTCAACCAACTTTGCTGCATCTAAACTCTCATCAACATCTGCTGCAGTCCTGAACTGCAATATGAACAAACATATCATGAGTCAACAAAGTTGGCCTAAAGAATCAATGATGTGGACAGAAAAGGACTTTTATTGTGTTCTTATTACTTCAAATTTTAAGGGATTTTATTAATTTGTTTAGTATTTAATTAGGAAGTTTTTATTTTGAAAACTCTTAACTAGGGCTTTTTGGGTGCCTATACATAAGCCATTATCTAGGAGGAACAATTTTGATGATAAATTGAATTGAGAGTTTTTAGTTTTGAGTATTGAAAATTTCTTTGTTTTTAGGGTTAGGGTTTACTTTAGTTGATTGGATTGACCCTTTTCCATTATATTATTTGTTTTCTCTGGCTGTGTAATACTGCTAAAACAGAGGAAAATAAAATACTTACCCTGACAACCTTGTCAGATGAAAACTCTGGAATTTCAACACTTTTTTTGTATGTCATAACCTGAACCAATGGAGTTGTATTGCCATTCTCACTTGCAACTCCCAATGAAGGTGCTGAAGCAACTTCAGGGTTTGGTACTGCTTCAACTGTATCACCGCCATCATTGGCTTTTTTATCCTCCTCCTTTATATCAGCAGAAGCTTGAGCTGTCGTGGCCATGCCTGCACTGTACCATGTTCAGACGAAGAATTTAGAACCAGTGAATGCTAGATCAAATTTCCAGACTGGTGAAGTTCATGTAAATAATCCAATTTGATCACAAAAATCCTTCAAGGTCATATGTTTAGATCATACCATAGTTTTAAGGGGCTTCAGGGCAAAAATTGTAGTTTCACATTGAAAGAACATAAAGCGTAACTTTCTTTGAAACTGATCCCATCACTATCTTAAGTTGATAGACACATATATCAATCAATAGCTTCTTCTTTTTTAACCTTTTTTAATGATTATTGGATGTCATTACAACAAGAAACTAACATCAAAGACCAGAGAATAGACAATACTTCTAAAACTGTCTAAAATGCAAACAAATTGTTCATGGCACTAGAAGTTAACAGAATATCCATTCAACAAGGACTAGACGACCACCCTGGGCTCAAGCACAGGCAAGATTTGAAAAGCCCAAAAAGTGCACAGAAGCATAGAGTCAAATGAAATGCAACATTTTTTTTTTTTTTTTTGATCAGCAACAACAAAGATATATTAAGGCACAAGGCCAAAAAGAAATGAGGATAAGGCATCCTCTACAATAAAGTTGACACAGCGAAGAAAAAACCAAAAAAACAATTCAAAATGCAAGAAGGCAACCAGTTACTACTACACAGTACAAACTGACACCCAATCAGAAGCAAGCATAAAAAGCGGGATTCCTTGGAACACTGAACTCGCCGAGGCCCAAAAAGACGCCAAGTATTGCACCCTATCCCATAAATAGTCTATATACCGAGCAACTCCTTCAAAGACCCACGCATTTCTTTCCAACCAAATGAAATGCAACATCAAAACGCTTTGAACTCCAACTTCTTCTTAGTCAAACGCTTCCCACGCATACTCAAGCTTAATTAGTTCTATATACATCTCATCACCAAAACTAAAAGTTCTGTCAAAGAGTAAAAACTAGGCACTTACGTCTTGTGTCGCCTGAGATTATATCGTTTTTCCCCTGGAGTTTGCGTAGCTGGAGTAACTGTCTGCCGCCTCTTCCTGCGCCCACCTGTAGTGACACTCTCAGACTGTCCTTCACTGTAATCAGCATCCTGCTCACTTTCCGTGATTTTAGAGGTTCGTGCACGTTGCCGCTTCCTTGCAGTGGTGCCAGCAGCTTTCCCAGCACGGCTGGAATCTCCCCGACTTTCCTCATTGATATGAGCAGAATCATTAGGATGGAGCTCATGCCGCTTTGAGTCTTCTGAAGCTTCCCCTAGAAAGACCTTAGCATCTTCAACCACTGCCTTCACGGAGCGTGTTCTATGAATATCAACCTTCGGTTTTCTCCCAGGTTTGCGCCGACCACGCCTCAGCTCTGATTGCTGGGAATCTTCTGGAAATTCTTGGGCCTTACTGTCCATGTTGCTCTGGTTGTCAATGGATGGAGCATTGCCAAGATCCACCTCTCTAATGACACTACTGGATGCAAGGTTTTGAAAATTGAAGGAGTCATTCGCAATCCCAAAGGATGGCTCTGGTCCCTCTTCAGCTATACTCAGCCCCCTTGCTTCTTCTATATCAACCAGCATAGTTGGCACATCAGATTTTTCACCTCTATTGACCTTCACAGCAGACAAAGCTGATTCCAAATTTTGAGCAGCATCATGCTGAATCATTCCACCAGGGGACAACTTGAAAATTTTCGAGGTGCACTTTCGGAACCAAGACATGTGTCCCCCAGAATCTGATTGAAAACCAATTCCACTAGGAGATCTCTTGATATTTGTTCCATCAGTAGCAGCTGCAACACCCTGAGAGCTCATCAAAACCTCATCTCCAAATCCCGGGAAAGGAAGGGCATCCACATCTTCCATGTCAAGCAACTGTAGATCAGAAAGAACAAATTCCCGTGTGATATCCCCACAGTTCTTGCAACTCTTAAGCCTCTCAACAAATGCTAGAAACCTACCTCTTTCCTTGATAAATTGCTCACGCTGATCCTTAAGCTTCTTGCTAAGAACACCAAGCTCGTCAATGTCTCTATGCATTTCACTTTGCTGTGTTTCGAGTTGTTTCTTGTTCAAAGCAATTTCCTGCTTTTCCTTTTCTATTCTACGCCTTTCAGATCTCATTTCATCCATTTCCCTCTGGACAACTCCCTTTAGGTAGCTGATATTACCAAGTTCTCTCTCTCTCTTCCCCTCAAATGCTTTCTCCCTTTCCTGCAGTTGTTTCTCCATTTCCTCTTGCTTATTCTGCAAATCAATCTCAAGATCTCTTCTCCGCAACTCAAACTCACGAAGTAATTGACTATGTTTATTTTGAGCATTTTCGGATAAAACTGATTGCTCATGCTTCATCAGGGATGCAAAAGATTCTTTCTCCAATCTGACATTTTCCAACTCTCTCTGTATATAATCCTGCGTTGCAAGTTTCTCCTTTTTCAAGCGTTCTTCTTCAGAGTGTTGCAATTTTTCAAGTTTCTCTTTTTCTTCATCAATTTCCCTTAACTCTTTAGTAATAGAAGTTCGTTTGTCATCCAATGCTTCCCACTCCTCTTCAAATTTCTTTCTATCCTGCTTCAAATCCTCACCTTCCTTCAAAAGTAACTCCTTCTGAAGTCTGCACTTCTCTATTTCCTTTTTCAACTCCAACTGCAAACGGAGATGTTCAGCTTTATCATCTTCTAAAATTCTGAGTTTTTCCTTCTCTTCATCTATCTGTAGTTCACGCCGTCTAATGTCAGCCCTAATATTCTCAAGTTCATCCTTGAGAATGAGAAGATTTTCTTTATCAGAAAGCATTTGTTTCTTTTCAACAACCAACCTCTTCTCCTCAGCTTTGATAGCTTTCTCACTCTCCTTTGAACTTTTCAACTTTGCTTCAAGGCCCTTCTCTTTCTCCTTCAGTCTTTCTGACTTCTTTTCCAATGCTTGTTCTCGCTTTCCCAGTTTTTCCTCCATGTGGTTGATTTCTGCTTCCTTTTGCTGCACTGCTTCTGCCTTGCTTCTCATTTCATCATCAAGAGATTTCCTACTTTCTTCCATTTTCAAATCAAATTCCCGCCTTTCTGTATCCAGGATGGCCCTGTGCTCGTCAAGGATCTTCTGAATCTCCACCTGTAACAGACCAAGCAGTATTAAGTGTCATTCTAGTGACTACAGCGTCAGAATTTTTTTTTTTTTTTATATACAAATAGACTACAGTGTTAGAACTTGAAAGTAATTATAATACTCAAATCCATGCAAGTCTTTTAAAAATAGAAATTGTATCGATAGTGACCTCTACATACCATAGTCCATTAATATGACCTCACATGAGATCATTAGACTTGGGTATTGGTGTGTAGAGTTGAGGAAACGTTGAAGTTGATCCACTTTGACCAATTTAAACAAGAGATAGGCCTCTACAAGTCCAGATGTTGCTCCACTTTGACCAGTCATGATACCTCGTAAGTTGTACCATACGTACCCATTACAACTCAACCCACAAGCTCTCAACATTAGTACAATTGGGCCAAAAAAGATGAGCCATTTGTCCCCAAGCATGGGACACCACACAAGGGTGAGATAGTTCCCATGGCCCAACCCTTCTATAAAAGAAAGCCCCTACCTCCACAAATACACAAATTACAGTTGTACTATCCTCTCCACCACAAGTTCAAAGCTTCTCCTCAGTCACTCTCTCTCTCTCTAAACTCTAAGGTTGCCTCAGTTCTCTCTTTCTCAACTTCTGGTAGTGCTCCACCATCTCAGTGCCTACAATCTTCCCAGAAGGCCCCACACCAACCACCTTAGAGCTGACCGTCCACAAATGGATAAAACACAAATTCTGACTTTATATTCAACAGTAGATATTAGAAGTGTTTGAATTTACTTATCAAAAACAAAAACAAAAATATGTATGTTTGTACTAATTAAAACAAATTTGTAATTTTATTACTTATTTTATCTAAATTATATTTGCAATAATATATAATAAAATGCACTATGAGGGATTAATTGGGCTGTGCATTTGCTGCTAGAGAAAAACTGAACTCTAAAAATTGACCCAAGTACAAGACATAAAACAATATATTTATTCAAGTAATTTGATAACTCAATATTCTATTTCCTTTTAACATGTGAATATATTTATCATATTCTACAGAACTTAATTGACAAACTCCGTTCTTATAGGCTCTAAAGGAAAATTCCGCATTGCTGAAAGATAAATACGTTCAAAATTATTTTGAAAAATAGAAAAGAAACAAAAGAAAAAAGAAAACATCTAAAGAAGCTGAAAACTATACTCGTCAAGTAAATCATAAGTGAAACCTAAATAATGTGAGTGAAACCTAAATAATGTGAATAGTATAAGTAAATTCACTGAGAAAGCAACGCATTTACGCAAGACATATTGAATTATGTAAAAAGTTTAGGGCGTTGCAACTCACTCTTTCTCTGGCACTAAGCTTTTCCGTCAAAGCAAGTAATTCCTTCTCCTTCATCTCTAGGCTGCCTCTAAGAGATTCAGCTTTCTGCAACCAAATTGGACAGAAGGTAAATACAATTGATACCATACCATCATCAATTTTATATCAAACAAACGCTGACATAAATCAGAAACTCACTTCTTCTTTTGCAACTAAATCCAATAGTCTGATTTCTATATCTTCTTCTCTCTTCTTCAAAGTTTGGCCAGTCAACTCAATCTTCTTTCGTGTTTCTTCAAATGCCTTCTCTTTCTGCTTCAAATTCCTGTCCATCTCATTTGCCTTTTCCTCTCTCTGATTGTTGATTCTCCGACCCTCACATAGCCTCTCTTCCGCTTCCTGCAGTTTTCTCTCCCATTCCAGCAAATCTTCTTTATGCTTACCAAAAGTTGCCTCGTGCGCTTCTCGTCTAATAGAGACAGAAAAAGAGAGAAAAATTAGAGTTCATCAAAAACTTCTAAAAAGTGAGAGCAAACACAACGATCGGCATTCACATGAAGTTTGAGATAGATCATTACTCCGTGTTTAAGGATAGGCGCTCCCTCTGAAGCACACTTTCACAAACCTCCAGTTCGTGCAATTTCCTCTCCAACTCTGCACTCTTTCTACTCGCCTCAGCAAGCTTCGCATCAGCAGCATGCAACTTTTCCTCTACCTCCAATGATTTATCCTCAATTCCAGCAACCAAAGCATTTGCTTCAGTTAATTTAGTCTCAGATGTGATCTTGATGTTTGCATGCTCTGCACGCATTTCACGTAATGCCTTCTCAAGCTGCATGAAGGAAGTATTAGCCACTATATCCGAGTCCATGGTAAAACAAAGTAGAGGCCAAAAAGTAACACAAAACAAACTATTAGGAAGTGCACAGTAAACCCATTCGAACAAAAAGAGAGATGTACCGCTATGCCTGCCTGGAGAAGTGTTTAAATTGATCGATTTTAGTTGCAAGAACAGGCAGCAAAAGCTGAAAGATTACCTCACTCTAACAGATGAACAATGGTAGAAATACCTAAAAAATATAGAGTTGAAAGATTTCCACCATAAGATTGCAATGGTAGAAATATTAAGCGTGATCCAAATATTAGGGGTTGAAAGATTTCAACTATAATTTTTGCCCATCTATTTAAATCCCTAAAGATTTCAACTCTATTTTTTGTCCCTTGAAAGATTTCAACTATTTTTTGTCCCTTGTCACAGCTGTCATAAGATTGCAATGGTAGCAATATTAAGCATGACAATGTTTTTGTTTATGGTTTCAATACCTAAAAAATATAGAGTTGAAATATTTCTACCATAAGATTGCAATGGTAGAAATATTAAGCGTGATCCAAATATTAAGCATTGAAAGATTTCAATTATATTTTTTGTCCATCTATTTAAATCCCTAAAGACTTCAACTCTATTAAGATTTCAACTCTATTTTTTGTCCCTTGTCACAGCTATCATAAAATTGAAATGGTAGCAATATTAAGCATGATAATGCCTTTGTTTATGGTTTCAATTCCCCTGTTTGACAGCTTGCCACATGGCCAAAGAAGCCAAAGATGAAAACAGTTTAAAAAGCTTTGTATTATAGTTATCATAGTATTGCAATGGTAGCAGTATTAAGTGTGTTAATGTTTTTGTTTATGGATTCAATTCTCCCGTTTGACAGCTTGCCACATGGCCAAAGAACTGCTGACCAGATTGTTACACTCAAACTACCCCCTTCCCACACAAAAAGCATAGGATGTGTTTTACTGCCAATACAGCACAATCAAAGGATATTTGAAAATGGTTAGCAATGTAAGGTTTGCCGCACCACTTAATTCATAGAGATGTTTGTGGTAAGGTTTTCAATACAAAAATAGCAAAGATACAACGGCTACTTGAAAATTCTATCAGTATTGGGGCTTATCTGTGGAATAGAAGCAATAATTAGATGATGTTTTATTCTGTATTTTTGTTCCACCATGATCAGTGGTGTTTGTTTTGCTAAGGACTTCATGTTTTTCAAGTTTTTAATTCCCTTGATCACTTTTCCGAGTTGTGTCAAAGCGTTTCCTGTATATTTTTATTGCTTCAATAAAATTTTACTCTTACCAAGCATAGAGAGAGAGAGAGAGAGAGAGAGAGATTTAACTTCAGAAACACCCTTTGCAAAGGGGTCAAAATTATGTTATGTAACGAAGCTATTTAAAGGGTATATATTGTCATAGAAGAGAATAACAAATTTCAAGTAATTAAATTAAATGAGATTTGGTTTTCCCATAAGTTGAGTTAGTAGTTCTGTAACTTTTAGTTCTATCAACCAGAGAAACAGTCAGGACTAAGCACCAGATATTGGTATCTACATGGTGAGTACATCTACTTTTAAACGAAAAATGGCGAGTCCATTATATATCATCATTAAATTTATGTGAAGGGACAAAAAATAGAGTTGAAAGATTTCAATATCCAAATACCTAAAAATGTTGAAAATGCATATAGGGATTTAAATAGATGGAAAAATAGGGTATAGTCAGAAAAGATGCAACCCACCATAGATGCTAATCTCGGGGTCATAATCCAAATAAAAAAAATCCAGCAGCCTAGGAAAATCTGTGTACTCCTTATTTTTTGGTACTAAAGTACATTTTCAAAAGACTAGAACGTATGACTCAATTTAGTGGGAAATGTAGCCTAGGACAAGGGTGTCCCCTCGAGGACAATCAGTGTAATCTTGTCTAACTTTCAGATATATTTGTGATGCGAACTAGGTTTGTACAGCCTAAGGGATTCAATATGAGTCATCCACTTCCTTCTCTTACATTGTTTGTTTCAACATTTTTATCACAAGAGCCCCTAATTATTCAGATTTTAATCCCATAAACCTAATGCAATAACCACTGCCCCTCCTCTCTCCTTCTTTCCACTTTAACAGCAAAAACTGAAAACACCTAAATAATGATAAGACCCATCACATCATAAATATACAAGTCTACAAGTTATCCTATATTCAACTTTTGGAACCATAAATCTACAAGCTATCCAGCATCTAAACCCATTACATCATCAACTGTAAAATACACTATTTTAAATTTTCAAATGTACTTCTACATCAAAGAAGTTTTTTTTTTTTTTTTAATAGTTATTTTGAAGTAAGCGAGAACCAAATATATGCCATAAACCCATGAATATGTAAGAAATGATGAAACTAAAAGCCATGACATTTCAAAATACATAAGAGATGATGAAACCTATTTCATTAACATTTATAATATTTCATGCTACAAGAAGAATAGAGCAAAGTATCTTACATCAGCCACACACTTCTTTTCAACACCTAAAGCTTTCTTCAAATTCTCCTCTCGCTTCTCAGCTTCAGATAATACAAATAAATGTGTTGCCTGCTCACGTTTGAGGACCTCCTGATCCTCAGCCAATACTTCTCTAAGTTCTTCAAACTTTGATGCCCACTCCTTCTTCTCAATCAGTAAAAGCCCCATATTATACTGGTAATCAAAAAGCTGTTGAAAAAATAATAATAATAATCAATTATAAAATATTATACTGCAACTTCAACCAGGATCTTAAAGGTCAAAAACAACACCAATATCAACAATCCCATGCACATACCTAGACATAAGCAAAAAAATAAAACTTGATGGCAAACCAATAAAAAAATGAAGCAATAAGAAATAGAAGGATAAAAATAAAAAAAAAATCACTCTTTAGATGACAAACAAAGTCATAGAGACATTTTACCTAAAAAAAATAAAACTACAGAAAAATGCACAAGGCTCTCATAAACAAGAGAAAATCTAATAAACATAACTCATTCATTGTAGAGAGGGGAACTTGACCCAAGGAAAGCAAAAGGCATGCAAAACAAGAAAGTGGGATATAAGATTAATCTCTTCATATGATTAAATTTAGAATTTAGTTTCATTAACTACATCTTTGTAACAATATTTAAACTTTTCTTATTTGCAAATAATATAAACCTAAGAAACACGGATACAAACATGGGACAATGATGCAACATGATACAAACACACCAACAAGCAATTTTCAAAAAAATAAGGAAACAACATGGAAAGAGTTTTAAAATAACAATAACTTTATTTTTTGCAAATACATATATATTGCATCATTTTAAATAGCAAGTGATCCTTTTCAACATTACATTTTGGAAAAGAAGTGTGAAAAAAAAAAAAAAAAAAAAAAAAAAACCTAATATTTATTTTAAAAAGTTCTATTTGCAAAACAAAATGAAAATTTTAGACTTCATAGTTCCTAAAATAAAAGAGTTTAAAGGAGCTGAAATTAATGGGTATAAATCATATTTTGATTTTAAGCATTAGCTCCAATATTATTTTCTTTGTATCAAAGTGATGGACACATAAGTCCCCCAATAGTTTTAAGCTCATCCGATTCTAAGAATATTTTAAAACATATATATGACACATTTAGACCGTGTCCAATAAGTGTCAGTGTCACATGGGCCCGATACGAATATAGCGCAGTGTCCATGTTACTTAGATAGAAACCATCTCAAGTACTTATTTCATAAACAAATATATAGATTAATGTGTATTGTGGTTGGAAAATAAAAAAAATTATCAAAGCATTCAGGCAATGATAAAAACTAAAAGAAAAGTAGAAGGTATTAAACTCCATCCTAGACCAAGGAAGCTAACTCCCTCTAGTTTATCCTAAGCATTAATTAACCACCTCAAGACCAAAGTGATGTTGGGCTGTGACAAGGACAACTCATGCAACCCTTAGGATTAGTTAACCACAATCCAAACCCAACATGCCAAAATAACAACCCTGATCCTTTCCCCCTTCTTGGACTAACCCAAGTCCTACTTATCTATGTTAAATAACAGTTATATGCATTATATAATATAAATAAGCACAACGTCCAAAAATACAGTGCATCACTCTGTAAACTTGTAACATAAAATAAATGCACTAAAATATGGAACACATATAAATGTCGAAGAAATTCAGGAAGGTAATTTTCTTTATCTAAGGTCAATTAGTAGCAAGGATGAAGGTATTACAAGGAATGTCACAAAATGAATGTTACGGGAGAGATGAAGCGGTCATTATGGTATATTGGGCAATCAACCTATGACAGTCAAATCAAATCCAAGCAACAGGAGCTTGGGAAATCGGTTTCTTTTTCTCTTTTTAGATTTGTTTCCACATTCCTTATTTTGCTTTTTGTCGTTTTCTTTTTTCCTTATCCCTTATTTTCTTTCTATAGTTTGTTTCTCACTAAAATGAAAATATTGGCAGTTAAAAGAGAAATGGATGGAAGACCAGGACGTTCATGAACCCATTTCAGTACGTACACAAAAATCATATGTGAAATCATGCACATAACTGCACAAGTACAAAGTACAAAGTTCAAAGTAGTAAGTTATCCTACACAAAACTCCAAAAATGATTAGAAACTTTGTTGGAAAAGGATGGCACTGATATTCTTCACATACTGCTGGAATAAGCTACCAGAGTGTTCATGCAGCATGCTTGGACTGAAAAAGTTGGTCCATAGTCACTTTGTTAATTTGTGTCAAACTAGCACTTAAAAATAAAATCATCCTTTCTATTCCATGGTTAATTTAATTCGAACCATTGCAGTCATATTACTACTATTCTTCTGACTTCTATTACTATCATTTTTCAGCCCTGAACCTCGAGTTTAACACAAAAAGAAAATAGACTAATCATGAAAATCCCTAAATTTCATATCCTTCCAGTTCACAACTCTAATTAATTCAGATAGTGAAATTGAAAACCCAACTTCACTGAAACTTTCCTTTCCCTATCACTAAACCAGCATGGACCCGAACCAAGGTTAATACTCAAAGACTGAAACCAATACAAGATACAATAATTAAGCTTCTACAATCGTAATTTGCTATTAATCCCACTATATGAAGCTAGCTTAAGTTACAAATATCGAACACCAACGGGAATTCAATGACAACATTTTAATACCAATTAGCATAATATAACACTGAAAAAGAAACTATTTTGTTAAAACAGAATTTTTTGAAACACACATTAATAATCATACTAATACAAAGAAAATGCATCACTGTGACAATATAGGCAAAGTAAAACCCTCAAATAATTATCGAATTCAAAGAACAAACTCAATAGCAATTGATTCAAACCTCTCTCTCAAGCCTCGAAACTTTCTCTGCCATGGCAGCCCGGTCCTTCCTCTCCATTGCTGCCTCGTCCAAAAACCCCGCCTCCCTAAACCGCCTCCAGTCCTCCATATCACCCACATCCACCACCGCCTTCATCCCACTCTCATTCAACGAACCCAGCGGCGGCGGCGGCCCATCTACAAGCGCCACCGCCTTGCCCTTCTCCGCCTCGGTCCGCGGAGTCGGCTTCCTCTGCGGCGTAAACATCACGAAACACTACGAAGCAAAGCCAAATTCGCAAAATTTCTTACGCGAAACCCTAGTGCAATGCGAATGGATTTCGAGTCCTCGAAAAACCCTAATTTTTTGACCGTTGAGAAATCGAAAAGGTTACCAAAATATCAGAATCTCCGGCGAGTTGTGCGTGTATATATATGTATAGAGAGATGTATGTATAGATACATATAACGGTAATCAGAGAAGAATCGAAACACGGGTGGTGTTGGTTTTTCTGTGACGCCCAGTCCTTTTATGCGAAGATGTCTAGCGGTGTTGTTTGTGGTATAATCATTGGTGTGTGTCACACGATTAATGGACTGATATGGATTTAACTTATTTAAAAAATTAAAATCACATCTCACTCAAAAAAAAGTTTAAATATTATGGCCTGGCTACTCAAAATAAGTACGTACTTTTTATTTTTTTATCTTTTTTTCATCATATCACCTCTCTACTTTTTTACACATCTTTTTATAAAAAGACAAAAAATACACTTATTTAGGTCATCCCAAACAACCCTTACGTGTCAAAATCAAACTGATCCAGATTACTCAATTTTTCATTACACTTATATCACATCTCACTCAAAAAAAAGTTTAAATATTACGTGTCAAAATCAAACTGATCCAGATTACTCAATTTTTCATTACACTTATATTATTAAGTTTTATATATTTTTTATTCAAATATTTCTAATATTTTCGTTATTTTTTTTTTTTTTTTACTTTCCAATAGAATTCAAGTCTTTTGATTTTTTTAAACTTTTTTACATCTCATATAAATAGAATTCAAGTCTTTTGATTTTTTTAAACTTTTTTACATCTCATATAATCAAATAACATATAATACCTAACAAGTGGAGAGAAAAAAAATGAAAATAAAAAGTATAAAAATATTAACAAAAAAAATCAAACTAAATATTAGATAGAAAAAATCAAAGTAAACCTTAGATTTATCCTTATAGACTCTTATGGGCCGAGTTTATAGATGAACTCAAACATCTTCGTGTAAAGTCCTAAATCATATTTTATGAATTAATAGTAACTCGTGCTATATACGAGACTTTATAAATTAAAAACAAAATAACTATCTTGAAATAATTTAATATTTTATCTTGCGGTATATATAAAATTTATAAGTTAACTGTTATGTTTATAATTTTTTAAATTATTAGTTTAAAAAATTTAAAATATATATATATAAATGTATTTAGTGCAATTTTGATAATTTGTATTTAAAAAAAGTTAAACCTAACTAAATAAGATTAACTGAATTATGACATACATCTTCTTGTTATGAAAATATACAAATTTAAAAGTTATAATTAAAACAAATATATAATTTTATTATTAAATATGAAGTGAAGTGATATTTAACAATAATTAATATGATGTTTCTATTATTAATCTAATAATTTAAGTTACTTTTTTTTTATTTCAATTTCATGACTAAAAATACAATATGAATATAATACACACACGAATTTCTAATCTTTATAAATAAGAAGGTTTCAAAATATTTTCAAACTTTCATCATTTCCTTTTAATTTTTTTTATCTAATTTGATTTTAAATTTGAATAAAAATTTTGATTTGATATAAATTACTTTAACTTTTTCATTAAATTTTTATCAATTTTTAAAAGAACTTTCACTCGTATCCCCAATTTTTTTTTCTTTTCACCAATTTTGATGAAAAAAATAATAATTTTCAACGTTTCATCTTTTCAAATTTTTATCAAATTATAATTTGAAAAAAATATATATTAAGGGTTGAAAATTCTCTTAATTAGAATTATAGTAAAATAACATCTTGAAATAGTCAAAGTTTGAGTATGCGGTTGGTTGAAATATATAATTTAATTAATTCTCTTCTCATATTTATATAAAAATTGGCATTTATGACTCTATCATTATAAATTGGATTATGGAAAATTTGTAAATATCCTACACATTAAAAAATGAAAAACAAAGAAAAAGAAAAAAAAAATTGTGTAGCTTTTTAATATGTGTTTATCAATTTTGTTTTGTGGATATAAACAATTGATATTTGAATTTAAAAAATTAAAAAAATAAAAATAAAAAATATATTGGGTTTTTTAGAGATAAAAGAAACCATCTAACTGTTCTATATACTATTAAGATGGACTATTTCAATTTAAAAAATTAAAAAGTAAAAAAAAAATAGATTTGACTTTTTAGAGATAAAAGAAATCATCTAACTCTTCTATATATTATGAAGATGGACTATTTTAATCACATAAAAAAATAGAAATTATATTTAGAGACTATCCTTATATATTATGTTATTATATATAACTATAGTTGTAACAAATTAACTATAATATATATGAAAAGTTATATTAAGCTTTCGTTCTCAATTAATTGAATTATAATTAACAAACTAACAAATTCCAGTAATGTTCTAATGAGATAGAAAGAGAATAAAAATAAAGAACACAATGATATTTAAAAGTTTTAAATTTACCTAGTTATACAAAAATCTAATGTTATAGTAAAATCTTGACTTCTCAATAAATGTTCACATTTTTTATAAAATAAAATGACAAAAAAAAACATAAAAAAAAATTGACACCCATTTTTTTTAGTTCAATTTCATAGTCTTCACTGAAGAAAACAAAATCCAATCAAAATCATTGGCATGGAACGGACATAATTCTTCTCCATCATGCAAACCTGTAAACAAACACATAAACCTCACTAAAACTAAAATCAAACCCCAACCAACAGTAGAGAAAGAGAATTACACAGGAAAAAAATAAAATTAAAAAATAAATAATTTATAGAGTGGGAGACTATTCACTCCAACAACTTAAACCTCACCCAACCCAATCCATTAGCTCATCTGCCAGTACCCGCAAAGTTTAGGAGTTGGGATGACTAATTAGATTATTCTTTAAATAAGATTTGAAAATTGATTAATTTGTCTCATTAAGTGATTTAAAATTTTGATATATATACATCAGAAAAATATATAATTATTTTATAAAATCATAATTCAAATTTAGATATTGGCATATTTTTTTTAGTTCCATGTCTAAATTCTTTTCTTTTTGTTTGGTTTCTATTCAGTTTTTTTTTTCAATTTATTTAAGATGGAGTTGTGGGTATCTATTTTTTTTAATTTAATTTATTTGTGGTTTCTATTTATTTTTAATTATTATTATTTAGGTAATTTATGATGTGAGTTAGATTTGTGATAAACATGTTAGTTTTATTGATTTAAAGTATAACGGTGGGAGATATTTTCAAATTATATTTGTTTAGATAAATTGTAAAGATTTTTTAAATTTAAAATTGGATATTGAGATGCAAAAAAAGATTTTAACTGAATAAATAAAAATTAAATTTATTAATTTTATCTGTTTGTATATTTGATTTTTATTTTTATTTTTATTTTGTTATGTTATAATATAATATATAAGATATAAATAGATACCCACAACTTTCATGAAAAAGATTATCTATTTTTGGATAATGCAAGTTTTAATATATTTTTAAAAAAATTGGTGAGAGAGATTATGATGGAGAGATTATAAAATATTTTTGCTATCTGGTGAGAAAGATTAGGAGGGAGAAATTATGAAAACTTTTTGTCATTAAATAAATAAATCAGTCAATAGCTTTTTTAATCTATTTTAAAAATTAAAAAGCAATAATTTTGGTAGATATACATCAAAAAAATAGATAATTACATTACTAATTCATAATTCAAATTTAGATGTTATATCTTTATGAGATATATATCTAAATTATTACTTTCTTTATTTTTGTGTGTAACCATAGTGTATGAGAGAAATTGAAAAGGGTGCTGCAGTAATTATGAGAGAAGTCAAAAAGATTTGTGGGTTGGAAGAAGTCAATAAATGCTGAGATTTTTTTTTAAATCAAAAAATTAGAAAATTATGATTATGATATTGAAATTCTCACAAAACTTGTATATTAAAAATCCATTTTTTCTTATGCAATATATAGATAGATGGATGCTCGGGTTGTCTTTGTTTTTGCTAGTAGCGTCAGGGTAGGTCCGGACCAGGTCGCATTATATAAGACCATCTCCAACGCTTCACAAACCTTGCATCAGATTTGAAAATTGGTGAAAAAGTCACTTTTTGCAGCTTCAATGGTTTCATCAAATTGGTATCAAAAAGTGAATTCACCAAAATTTTCATCAAAGTGAGAACAGGAGGAATATTTCACCAATTTACTGTGCGTGACCGTTGGGGGAGAGCAACCGGTCCACCAGCTGGTCGACCGACCGGTTGACCAACCGGTTGACCGGTTCCCTTGCAAATAGGTTGGTTCCAACAGGTCAAAAGGTTCAAAGAGGTAAAAAAAAAAAAAATACACTAACCGGTCGACCCCTGCTTTGATGACAACCGTTGGAGCAGTCTGTATCAGATTGAGAAAATAGTCTTTTTTTTACTCATATTTGGTGAAAAATTTGGTAAACCGTTGGAGATGCTCTAATACAAAAATTTGTGTATGTTAGTTCTAATATTAAATTTTTATATTTGTTTGATTTTGGTCTAATTAATAATTTTAAAATTTAAATTCACCTATAGGTTATATGTTAAAAAAAATTATGGAATTTATGTGTAATTTTTAATAGATTAACTTATTATCTAGTAAGTTCTATGATAATTAATGCCATTTTTTCATTAAGTACTATTAAAAAATATCACTGATTGTTACTTTTCAACGATAATTTAAAATTTTCGTCACAAAAAATGTAACTAATTATAAGGTTTAACGACAATTTAAAAAAATTGTCACAAAATAAGTCACTAATTTTCAATTTTTAGCGACAGTTTAAAAAATTGTCACAAAAAAAATCATTAATTATATGTTCTAACAACAATTTTAAAAACATGACAAAAAAAAATTGTTATATGCAAAAAAAAAAAAAAAAATCCCTAATTGTCAATTTTTAATGACATATGTAAAAAATTGTCATAAAAATTTATTTTTACCGACGATTTTAGTAGAACTTATTTTCAACAAGACTTAATGAAAATTAAGTCCAACTATAGTTTATCCAAAAAAGTAAACTATTCCATAATTAAATTCAATCACACATCATATTTCTTAAATAAAATATTTGCATCATTATAATTTGAAAGAATTCATGTATAAATTGAAAACTTTCTTAAATAAATTAAATCGCATATCACTACAAATATGAGTTTCAATAAAAATAAAGATAAAGTTTAGATCATGTCACGGCCCAAACTCGACCCTACAGGTTTAGCACCGCAACCGGCCAGTAAT